GTGGCCATCTTGCCCAAGCGGGCACACACAGGAAGTGGCAGAGCCCAGCCAGAAATTGAACTGGGACTTTTCATGCACAGGCTGGTGATCTTCCTCTGCAGCCCCTGCCTCCTGCAAGCTCTTCCTTCTCTGACTCAACAGCCCTGGCCTCTCACCTTCCCACACCCTCAGATCTCAGTCTTCCCAGGCCTGCGTTCACATGTCATTTATATCCGGGAAGAGTGGCCCCTCAATCTCTTCCTCTCAGGCCTCCCCAGGTGCCTGCCATGGCTGCAAGAGTATGGGGGTAGCCAGCATCCCCCTTACAAGGAAAAAAGAGATAAAACCAAGGGAGAGAACCCTTTCCCCCTCTCCAGGCTCTCCTTCCCAGGGTTGTTGGTCCCATGACAGATATAACACTTAAGGGCAGGTTGGGCGCGGTGGCTCACGCCTGTAATCCCAGCACTTTGGGAGGCTGAGGCAGGCAGATCACCTGAGGTCAGGGGTTCGAGACCAGCCTGGCCAAATGGTGAAACCCCATCTCTCCTAAAAATATAAAAATTAGCTGGGTGTGGTGGCACACACCTGTAATCCCAGTCACTTGGGAGGCTGAGGCAGAAGAATCTCTTGAACCCAGGAGGCAGAGGTTGCAGTGAGCTGAGATTGTGCCACTGCACTCCAGCCTGGGAGACAGTGAGACTCCGTCTCAAAACAAACAAACAAACCGGCCGGGCGCGGTGGCTCAAGCCTGTAATCCCAGCACTTTGGGAGGCTGAGACGGGCAGATCACAAGGTCAAGAGATCGAGACCATCCTGGCGGACACGGTGAAACCCCGTCTCTACTAAAAATACACAAAAAACTAGCCGGGCGAGGTGGCGGGCGCCTGTAGTCCCAGCTACTCGGGAAGCTGAGTCAGGAGAATGGTGTAAACCCGGGAGGCGGAGCTTGCAGTGAGCTGAGATCCGTCCACTGCACTCCAGCCTGGGCGACAGAGCCAGACTCTGTCTCAAAACAAACAAACAAACAAACAAACCAAAACAAAACAAAACAAAAAAACACGTAGGGACAGTCCCAACAGTGGGCTGGAGGGGGCTGGACCCACAAGCCTCTTGCTGCTGTCTGAGTGCACACTGCTGGAGGAGTCTGGGCAGAGTCCAGGCCTAGTGTGGTGTGAGGTTTGTGTGCATGAAGGGAGGGAGGTCCAGGTATCAGAGGTCCAGGGACTGTGGGTCTCAACCACAGCACCTTTCCTGGGGTACAGGAGCTGTCGTAGCCTCGGGATCTCACCATCTGTGCTCGGGAGCCTCTGAGGCGAGAGCTCCGCTCCAGCCTGGCTTTACTTTCCCCCAGCCTTCCTGTCTTCACAAAATCATATTGGTTTCACCGAGGGGTTAGTTCCAGGCCTTGCAGCTGACATCATGGAGTGCAGGGATTCCCCGCGCTGGCCCACGCTGAAAATAGGGGACTTGAGTTCCAGTCTTCCTTCTGCTACCAACCGGCTTTGTGACCTTGAACAAGACTTCCCCTCCCTGATTCCATCCTCATGTCACATCTGAAGCCTCCAACTTCTGTACTGAGCTCAGGATTCCCAGGCAAGCCCACGGAGTGCCCCACAGGGTCAGAGCCGTAACAGGACTTGGAAAATAACCCAAAAATTGGTGCGTGGGTCTTTTCTTTTCTTCTCTCTCTCTTTTTTTTTTTTTTCTGTTGTTGTCCACGTTTTAATTTCCCTATGTAATAATAATGGTTTGCTATCACTTTTCTTTTTTATTTCTTTCTTTTTTTTTTTTTTGAGACGGAGTCTCGCTCTGTCGCCCAGGTTGGAGTGCAGTGGTGAGATCTTGGCTCACTGCAAGCTCCGCCTCCCAGGTTCCAGTCATTCTCCTGGCTCAGCCTCCCGAGTAGCTGGGACTACAGGCGCCCGCAACCACGCCCGGCTAATTTTTTTTTGTATTTTTAGTAGAGACCGGGTTTCACCGTGGTCTCGATCTCCTGACCTTGTCATCCGCCCACCTCGGCCTCCCAAAGTGCTGGGATTACAGGCGTGAGCCACCGCGCCCGGCTATTTCTTATTTTATTTAGAGACAGGGTCTTGCTCTGTCACCCAGGCTGGAGTGCAGTGGTGTGATCATGGCTCACTGCAGCCTTGACCTCCTGGGTTTAAGCAATCCTCCTGCCTCAGCCTCCGGAGTAGCTGTGACTGCAGGTGTGCACCACCATGCCCAGCTAATTTTTTTGGTTTTTAGTAGAGACGAGGTCTTGCTATATTGCCCAGCCTGGTCTTGAGCTCTTGAGCTCAAGTGATCCTCCCACCTTGGCTTCCCAGAGTGCTAAGATTACAGGCATGAGCCACCATGCCCAGCCTGTTCTCACTTTTCAATGAGGAAAATGAAGTCCAGAGCAGGCCAGTGACTTCCTTGGGGTGACCAGAAGGGGTGGCTACACACAGGTGTCTACATCCCAGGCTTCCCAATTTCCCTTCTCTCTGTCCTTACCCCTCACTACCTTCCTTCCATTTCCTGCTGGCACTAACCCAAGCCTCAGCCCATCAGCCAAGACCCACCCGGTTTGTGGAACCTGTATTCTAATGAATAGAGACAGACAAAAAAGTAAATGGGGCCAGGCGTGTTGGTTGAAGCCTAGAATCCCGGCACTTTGGGAAGCCCAAAGTAGGAGGATTGCTTGAGACCAGGAGTTCGAGCCCATCCTGGGCAACATAGCAAGACCCTATCTCTACAAAAAATTTTAAAAATAGCCAGGTGTGTATGGCCGGGCGCGGTGGCTCAAGCCTGTAATCCCAGCACTTTGGGAGGCCGAGGCGGGTGGATCACGAGGTCAGGAGATCGAGACCATCCTGGCTAACATGGTGAAACCCCGTCTCTACTAAAAATACAAAAAAACTAGCCGGGCGTGGTGGCGGGCGCCTGTAGTTCCAGCTACTTGGGAGGCTGAGGCGGGAGAATGGCATGAACCCGGGAGGCGGAGCTTGCAGTGAGCCGAGATCACGCCACTGCACTCCAGCCTGGGAGACACAGCGAGACTCCGTCTCAAAAAAAAAAAAAAAAAAAAATAGCCAGGTGTGATGGCGCACACCCGTAGTCCCAGCTACTTAGGAGGCTGAGGTGGGAGGATTGCTTGAGCCCTCAGTGAGTAGTGATTGCGCCACTGCCTCCAGCCTGGGCACAGAGCAAGACTCAGTCTCTACAAAAATACATACATAATTTTTTAAATTAATAAAATGTAAAAGTGAAAAAACTTTTTAAAATGTAAAAAAAAATGTAAAAGTGAAATGTTCATTCGAGACAAGAATTATGGCAGGAAAGGATAGCCATTCAGTGGGGGAGCCAGAGACGAGGGGTATGGTACAGGGATTGGGGAGAGGGAACTCCAGGCAGAGAGAAGAGCTTGCTCAAGGGCCAGGAAGTACCAGATGGCTCATCACCTTCACACAAGCAGCAAGTTGCTGGAGCTGACATAGGTTGAAAATGAGGCATGAGGCTGGAGGCATTGGCTGAAGCCAGGTTAAGAAGAGGAGAGGAGGCCAGGCGTAGTGGCTCATGCCTGTAATCCCAGCACTTTGGGAGGCTAAGGTGGGCAGATTGCTTGAGGTTAGGAGTTCCAGACCAGCCTGGCCAACATGGTGAAACCTCGTCTCTACTAAAACTATAGACCAAGCTCAGTGGCTCATACCTGTAATCCCAGCACTTTGGGAGGTTGAGTCGGGTGGATCACTTGGAGCCAAGAGTTCAAGACCAGCCTGGCCAACATGGTAAAATCCTGTCTCTACTAAAAACACAAAAATCAGCCAGGCGCGGTGGTGCATGCCTGTAGTCCCAGCTACTGGGGAGGTTGAGGCACAAGAATCACTTGAACCCAGGAGACGGAGGTTGTAGTGAGCCAAGATCGTGCCACTGAACTCCAGTCTGGGTGACACAGCAAGACTCTGTCTCAAAAAATAATAATAAAATAAAAATAAAAGTAAAATAATTAGCCAGGCATGGTGGCACACTCCTATAATCCCAGCTACTCAGGAGGCTGAGGCGGGAGGATCGCTTGAACTGGGGAGTCAAAGATTGCAGTGAGCTGGGATCGTACCACTGCACTCCAGCCTGGGTGATAGAGACTCTATCTCAAAAAAAAAAAAAAAACACAGAAGCGCAAAGGAGCAGCAAGGGATTGGG